CAACCGTCGCACCGGATCTCCCCTAATCTCCGATTAGCTCGAAACGGACTAACCATTTGTGCTGGAAGGTGGGAATGGATGAGGCTGCCGCAAACATTTTCCTCACAACACACGATCGAGAGGGCTTTTCAACTGTCACAACCACGCAGCCATGGTTTTGGGAGTGGAAGAAAAATGATTCAACTTGGAGCAGCATACGTGAGTTTATCTCCCCTAAGTCACTTCGACCTTGCCCATCTCCAGGCCAATTTACACCACCTCGACATCTGGATGGGATGAGTGTAGGAAGCCTGAAACGAGGAAGATTCTGCGCAAGTCTTCATTATGCCCTTAGCGTTCCTGTTCTCCTTCTTGCCCACTTCGTCATCCGAACGTGGGTAGTTCAGGAGGAGTGAAAGGAGGTAGGTGTTGCGCAAGTCACCGCTGTATCCTCGGCGCACGCGACGAAAGAATTGTAGGCAGTAGCATCTTAAAGAAAGATTCTAGCTTGATCAAGTAGGATATTCTGCCCGCTAATTAAAGAGGCGTACACGCATAAGCAATAAAGCATAAAGTAAGCATAACCTATGCAATGCAATCTTCATCATACCTTTAGTGTTAATTCATGTTTATGGCGCTTACAGAGTATGTCACATGGGAAATTTCAAGCCTTCGACTTTGGAAAGGAAGAAAATTTGCTGCAGTATAAACAGGCAGTGCCTCCAGTCTACGGTCTGAGTAACATAGATATTCCGTTGAAGCTGTATTGGGGCGGTGACGACTGGTTGTCAACGCCTATAGACGTCTGTCGCCTCCTCAACGAACTGCCTAGACGGAGCTATATTCGAAACATGTATCTCCCCTACTACAATCACATAGAATTTGTGTGGGGTCTGGATGCTGCCAAGATTATCTACCCGGACATACTCGATTTCTTACAAGAATTCCAGTGATTATTTTAAAAGCCCCAATGTTGCTCCAAAAATTTAAAAAGAAGTTTGTACTTTACCCTCCATTTGACCTGCAAATACATCTTTGTACCTTGGACAACAAACATTCTCGCCTATATATTACTAACGATAATGTATCTGCCTTTTTGCTCAAAATAAATCCACAGTTTTTCTTTGCTTTCTACTGAAAACTATGCACAAAAGGGATCTTAATAGGCATGCGATCGTCATTCTCTGGGACACACTCTTCACGTTGAGCCCTCAAAGGCAGATGCATAACGAGCAAGGACAGAAGAAACCGTGGTGACCATTTGTAAGTTATTAATCGTCGTAGACCAGCTATACTCAGTCGCAAGTTTGCTTTGCTTTGAGTTTCAATCCGCAGTTTTGAAGTAGAAACCATTAAATCCAACCATTAACTATTTAGCCACCTGTCTGATTTCCTGTCGCTTGCTATCGCGAATATCAATTGTCGTAGGAAA